GTCTCCGAGGGCTCCGGCCCCACGCGGCGAGCCTGATCCCCGGGGCCTCCGGTCGGTCCCCCTGTCGCGGAGCCCTGGGAACCGGGGAGGCCATGAGGCCAGGACCGCACTGTTGGAGACAGCTAAGTCAGAAAATACTGTAAGACAGCTGGGCAGGGCCCTCCGGGCAGAAAAAGCTGAGGCGCCCTGGCTGAAGGTTAACAGGAAAAAGGAGAGAAGCTACTGCACCCACACACCTCCCCCGGGGAGAAACAGCGGGATGACATTCTACTCTGTCAGCCCCCGCCAGCCCATTCCTTCCAGAAATCCAAGCACCCTCGCTGGCTTCCGGGACTCGCTTCCCCGTTTGATCAACGTAACGCGGGGGACTGTACCTGTGACCTTACTGGTCGGCCACGGTTTTGTCCCACCTCACGCCCACCTCGTGATTCTGCATCGGATCTTAGTTTTATCCCACGGGGTACCCGCCTCCTCATCGGGTAGCTTTAACCCATAGAAAACACCTTTGAGCAGCAGGGTGGGCGGGCAGGCAGCCCACTTTCCAGTCCCCTTCTGTCTCTCTTAGACAGAAGCCAGCTTTCTCTCAGTGGAATTTTCCTACTCTCACCTCCGTTGTTCCTAGAATTCATTCTTTGATTTTCAGAGAACAGGAACTCGCGTTTTGGCTACCTAGCAGGTTGGGAGTTATCGTATCTCCCTTGCTTGGATTATTTCGCTTGTTTGGATTACTTGCTGCCCGAATGGCTTGGAGATCTTCCACTGAGATAACCGAATGACGGTAGGAGTTTGCTTTTGTTTCGTAGGTTCTAACTTTCTTTTTTGCTTCACAGATTCTAACTTTTTCTTTCATAGATTCTGGCTTTTGCTTCAAAATTGTCTTAAGTTTTAGGTGTTATGTTTTACATTTTTGCAAAGGGCTTGTTCCTATTATGACGCATTATCCTTTGTTAAAATGATGTTTTATTCCCGTTTTGCTGGACAACTAAGGAAAAGGGTAGTGTTAGAGCGCCATCTAGCAGACTTTAATCGCAACTACAAGTAAACTTAATGCCGAGGAATGGGTCTTTTTGCAAAATCTAGTTTACATGTAAGGAATATACATGCCTAGTAATAAATAATGGGCTCCCATCCACCAGCTCAAAGACAGGTCAGTGCCTGTCCTTAAGGCTTGGGGGACAGGTTTCACTGAGAGTTCCTGTTCAATCCTCTACCGAGAAGAGTGCTGGGCCTTTTCTGCCTCAGTTTCCTTTCTGGTCTGGTCTGCCGGTGAGGAAGCGATCTTACCTCTTGAGGCCCCCATTCTCGCCCTTCCAGGCTGAGACTGACACCCAGGAGCAAGGTGTCCCAATAACTCACCGAGAGCCTGAGAAGAAAAGACCTCCTGTCCCTGGCCTCCGTTCCCATCTTTCCCCGCCCACTGTGCACTTTCCTTGTCGAGTGTGCACAACTAGTAAGGAAGGGTCCCTAAATCTGCCCCAACCTTCTCTCTCTCCTCCTAGGCCTGGTCTTCATCATTTATGTGTGCAGGGGAGGAAAACACCTTCTCTAAGAGCTTGTAGGCTTTACTACTTTGACTATAGACTTGTGCAATGCTAGGTGGTGATTTTTTGGGGCGTTTAAACGGCTTAAGCTTTTATTTGGACTTTTTCTCTCTGCTAGTGAGTTAGAAACCCCCCTTAAACTTTTCTCCAACTTGTTGGGAGCTGACTTTAGAATCACTTGTGTCAGACTGCCCCTCCTTCCAGGAAGTCAGGCTAAGGCAATCTGCGACACTGTTTTGTCCTGGTGGGGGAACAGCAATCAGATAGCGACTTGCACTTGTGTTTTTATATGCTAACTAGAATAAAGAGGGATCTTGGACAGCCTTTCTCTTTTCATGCACACGTAGAGAACTGAGCGAGTTGCCTTTACTAACGTGAATTGTGGTTGCTGGGGATGAATACAGTTTAATCTGTGAGTTTCAGACACTTAGTGACTTAAAAATGGACCTTAAACGATGCAGTAGCCTTGGCTAAGGAAGGTTGCCTAGGTGACTAGACAGACAACAGGAATGCCTCCGAGGCTTCTCCCCCTCCCACAGCCCAGGGCAGAATCCCTCTGAGCCCTATACTTTACTCTGCCTGTCTCTAGAGGTGATCTCTTGCAGGCAAAAATAGTGCTTTAATTTTTTTTTTTTTGTGACAGGGATTGAACTTAGGACCTTGGGCTTGTGAGGCAGGTGGCGGAACCACTGAGCTAACTCCCTGGCCCAAAGTGCTCTGATTTGACCTTCATCTATTTTCCTCAGTCTTTTTCAAAAAACTAGAAAGTAGTGGTTTAGGTATCCTGATACAGGCTTTGCTAGCAGTGTTTCCTTCTGTAAACATGACAATTATGGCTAAAATCAATTGTAGCTTGTGCTTTAGGTATACCTGAGGGCAGACACAGGAGTCTCCTGGGAACATAAGTTCGTGTCCTGCTGAAAGGGTAGACAGTCCATTCTGATTTTATCTTCTGTGTCTCTCTCCAGGTGGCAGCCACCCGCCCTAGAGTGGAATCTATTTGGGTACCTCCAAGGGCATAGAAATCTAGTAGAAAGTATAGGGCTGCATTCTCTCTCTTGGGCTTCTTGTGGGAAACTCGACATCAAAGTCGTACGGTGTGCCCTCGCCCTAGAGCACAGAACACAGAGGGAGGTACTGAGTATGATGCTATCTCATAACTAGAACTGCATTGTAAGAAAGAGAGAAAGTGGTCAAAATTGCCTTCTCTTCAGACTTTCTTCCCATTAAGAAATAATCCTTGTGTTCAAAATGCAAATGTGAGCCACAGGAAAACCAGATGCCAGGTCTTTGCAGCATTCACTAGCGCGGGCCTGCGTCCTAGGTTCCCAGGCAACTTTAATCAAAGCCCTGCCCTATTCCTGAGTCTGAGGCTTCCCCGCCTGACCCTTCGACCCTTCGGGTGCTGAGGGTGGGGCTTCTTGGCCAGGCATAATTCCACCCTCTACGGGGCTGTGTCTTTCCTCAGCTAGGATGTTTGAGCCTATCCAGACAACAGTTTTGGCTATCAGCAGTGACTGTCCAACAACTAGCTATCAAAGCGATAACGAGCAGCCTATATGGCTAGATATGCAAATCAGACAAACCATCAGCCTAGGGCCCACCTTAAAAAGTGTCTTTGCTTTCACTAAATTCAGCTTGGCCAATGACATCTGAGTTCACTTTGGTTTAGAAACAAGTCATCTTATGTGTGTCTGTC